CGGTCTAGATGGGGAAAATCTAGACCGCGGTCAATATCGATCTCAGCCAATCAAATTCGTGAATTCGGTAGTTCCCAGTCCTTGTGAGACACAGCCAGGTAATAATATATTGTCCAAGAAAACACGCAACAATCAAAACAAAACAAATGAGACCAATATCCCGCCCGCATCCTGACTGAGTAATGTGGTTTATATCGGTTCTTTTTTACAACATGGCTTGCCACTAAAAACTCCAGAATGAAGCTAACCTGCCACCAGGCGTTCTTTTTGAGTTTTTGGCGAACGGGAAAGAACCTGGCTGCAGGATAGAACGATGCCAATAATAGGTAACAAAAGAGCCTACAAAGTTATAAATATAGATTATTGACCAAGTGTGAAATTAATCTAGCGGAATATTGGCCAGGTTTTGTTTTCGTAAACACACCGAGAAACGAGGCCAATATTCACGACCTATTAAGCTTGGTGCTAGAGGGCAGATTTCAGTCCCACAGCAAAACCATATACTCATTGCACGTCCGCCACAAGACCTCTCTACTGTGCAATAATTTTGATATTTTAGTCTTGTTTACCATCTGTCAAGAACAATCCGGTTGTTGTTTACAAGAGAAATGAATGAATTCCTTGGTGGTCATAGCACGGGCACGGAGCACGCCGGCTAATCCTGACAAAGCGGATCAACAGATAAACCTGAGAACAAAAAGATAAAATACGATAGAGGAGTTTTCGTCCGCGCAATCAAGATACGGTCAGCCGGAACACAATGATAAATTAACTCATAAGACGAGCTGTGATAGTCTTAAAAAATTCTTTTCTTCTGTCTGTGTTGCTGTTAACGCTGAGGTGAGTAACGTAGTATACGGTCGTTTAGCCCTCAAGTCGATTAGCCCCCAACGTTTAGCCCTTAACTAGAAGTCGAAACCACTCTCTATTCCCCGTTCTTTTTGGCTCATCGGCCTCTGGTTGGGGGCTAACAGGCTACTAAGAACTAATAATCTACTCGAGAGCTAAACGACAGGCAACCAGCAACATATATCGCGCTGTTGTTTGTTTGCTGAACAGAAGTGACTATAAACTGATGGCCTTGTAAAATTGCATTCAAACGGTGAAACCTGGAGTACTTTCGTAAAAATGATAACTACCAATGGCGTCCTCGTGCAGAAAGCAAAGGTTTTGTGTGTCTTGACAACCTGCCTAATATTTAACTGAGGCTGTGGAACGCTCAAATCTCATTTGGTCCAGTCTTGAAAGTGAAATCGCTCGATATCATTCTACGTTCAAACAAGAAACCTGAATAGTTTGTGTCATTTGTGGTGGTTAAGGTGTAAGGAAACGCTAATTTGTCCTGTTTCCGCAAGGATATCAGAATGTTTGCAATATCGTCATGGAGGAGGTTGTAAACTTGTGTATGTTTTCAGTAGTTCCACGACAAATTTATGAAATTATAACTGATTTTCATTAGCCTATTGGTAGATGCTCTCCGCGACATTTGAAGCAACACTACATTTTTGTAATTATTTCATTTATTTTATTGGTTTGAATTGTTTTCCAATTGTTGTTTTGTTGAATTCTGAAGTTCGAAGGATTAATTAATGACTCTTGATTTACTTGAACGAATCACTAATTAACAGGGCCGTCAAACGTAATCGATGTTAATTTGTAATTTTGGCTAAGAGCCGTGTCGAGAAACTCGGACCACACGAAATCGAGAAAGAAAGACAAGTTGATTTTAACGAGGAACCTTTTCTCCAATTTTAATCTAACTGTTGGGAAATTGTTTTGAAACCTTGACACTACGCAGACTACGGGTAACTGGGCGTCAGAGGCTAAGAGAAGCGTGCAGATTACAGGCGGTTTGGCTTGACAGAGCGCTAACTAAGCGCAACTAATACACGAACGTAGAAGCACGAATTCCGGCAGGCTGATCCAAGAGCAATGCATATGTCTTTCTTTCATACGGTATAGCTCGCTTCACGGTTAACTATTCTTCATTTGCTTTACAATGTACTCCAACGTCGATGGCAATTTCGGTCTGAGGCCCTGTCAAAACTACGCCGGATGAATTTGAAAACGGAGATTTCACTCTGAAAACACATCAAAGGTTTTCCGTCCACACTACGCCGGAGAAATTTGAAAACGGAGGTTTCACTCTGAAAACGCATCAAATGTTTTCGGTCCACACTACGCCGGTGAAACTTGAAAACGCAACAATCACTGGTCATTTTGGATTTGTGTTCAAGGAAAACTCGGTCAGGAAAATCAAATGATTATGGTGACGTTTTCGAAAAAATCCGTTTTCAAAATGTTTTCTTACCACACGAAAACGAAAAGCCGACGTTTTCAAAGTCGTCCTGTTTGAAGAGCGTTTTAGAAGAGCTCCGTTGTTGTGACAGATTAGTGTGGACGGTAGGCCCAACCCTAGAAATAATGCTGCGTTTTCAAATTTCTCCGGCGTCGTGTAGACGGGGCCTGAAACTACAAAATTGCCCTATTCACGGTTAACTTTTCTCGTTTGCATTACAATATAATACAACACCAAGAGAAAATGAGGGGACTCATTTTCTCTTGACAACACGTATGTGAGGCAATGTCGCGCTATTTTGTAGTTTCTGCCCGATCGAAAGTGCCCCGCATCCACGTTGCACTACATTGTTGTGCAAATGAGAAAAGCTAGCCGTGAAAAGGGCCGTAGGCCAAAATTGCCTCTCATACAAACTGGGTTATATTGTGATGTAAGTGATAAAAGTTAACCGCGAAAAGCGCTATTGTTTTGCAGTCCAAAGGACTCCATGCTAATATGGCCCATTCATTATAAAACGTGCTTTGAATGTAAGGTATTGCAGAGGGTATAAGGTTAAAAAAGAGGCCGTTTACGTCTTTACTGGCGGGCAGATAGTTTTCAAAAGTCCCTTGTTCTTGTAGTTTAGCAGAAGAAATATAGTGGCAATAAAGAGTGTAAAAAAGCTTTATGGCATTAACAAGTCCTAGTGAAAATTACCAACCAAACATAGAAATACAATTCAATCGTAATTTACAAATATCCTATTAAAAAGCCTAGTTGCTCAGGTTATATGACTGTTAATGTGTCTCCCTGTGTCAGGAACTACGGCCTTCAATTTAGCGCTTAAATGAGGCCACAGAGGCAGTCGAAGGAAATTTTTTTGTCATTCGTCAGACAGATGATAATTCTCGCGTTCAGTCTTAGTTCTGTGTAGTCATAGGGCAATGGAGTGACTTTTTACTTCCTTGTTTGAAACCGTTTTGTCTTCGGCATAAAGTGAGTATTGAAAACTGGTTTATTTAGCATGCACACGAAATTAGCTATTTATCAATGTTTTTCTTTGGTCTGTATACTCGGCGGTGTTGAGTATAAGATAGTTAAAATGAGGACGGTTTTTATTTTAATAACTTTCAGCTTCTTTATATGGAAGGAGTAGGCTCCATTCGTCATGTTCGATCCGCTGGACGCATGACCCAACGCACTTTCTCATCAACAACGGTGAGTTCAATAGACGACAACATTTCCCTAAGCTCAAGCTACACTGCAAACTTCAAACGCTCCTATGGATCATCGAAGACTTCTGGTGCTGACAACTCGGGCGGTAGGGTAGCTGCTGGAAGTTCCCGAATGAAGAACGGTCGGGGTCTTCGGAGGGGGTCCGTGCTTCCGAGCGATGCCAACGGATCATCCGAACCATCGTCAGCGAAAGGACATCGATTGAGCATCTACTCTTTAAGCGGATTGGCGGAGGTGGGGATCAGAGTGCGCAGGCGTCGACGCAGTACCATGGACTCATGGGGGAAAAACAGGACACCAGGAGAAACAGAGTACTTTGACAAGGTAAATATAGCAGGGGGAATGGGGACGAGGACTTGCAAGGCTTCAAACCTTCTAGGAGAACTCTGCATAAACAGAGGAAAAAATTATATTGTCGTAACTTCAACTAATGTTCGGCATTTACATGAAAGGCTAGCTGGTAAACATAAGCAAGATACGCAGACGCAGTAAAGCGCTGCTAAGTAGCGCCTTTTGTAAGGAAATTGTGCTTGCAAATGATGCTAATTACGTACATCTTAGTGTGTCGGCTTATGCTTGTGCTTATGCGCAAGTGGAAACCAGCCTTAATCAACGAAACGGTAATCGGAATTACATTCATTTTTGAGGATAATCGGAAAGAAGTTTTTGAGCACCCAGTAACAATCGAACAACTCATTATTAGAGGTTTTCTTTCCTAACTTAGAATTTTTTCTTAGGAGACTCAGAGAAATAAACTGCCGCATTAGTTTTCATAAATTACAGCGGTTTTCAATTGACTGTCGTAAAACCAAGTAATCACTCTAGCCAGTCAAAGGACACAGACAATACAGTGAACCAATCAAAACTCCAAGTAATTAGATGTAGCTGACGCGCGTAAAGCGCTGCCGGGATTAGAGCGCTTTTCATTTGAGTCTCGAAAAGTAATTAGTTTTGCATCAACTACGCTGCATGATTGGCTTAAAAAACTCGCGCCAACTTTTCATCCAATCAGAAGTGAAACCAAAAGCAATTGTGACTCACTCGCACTCGTTTTCCCGCGCTTTGCGTCAGCTACATGTAATTACTTCGAGTTTTGATTGGTTCACTGTATTTTCTTTGTCCTTTGTGATTGGTTAGAGTAATAACTTTGGTTTTGGTTTTACGACACTCAATTGAAAACCGCTCTAAACGCTTGCGAGCGATCAAAATTGGTTTTCGTTTAAGATAATTCCCTTGAAATTGTTCTACTATTAAACCTTTTTTTGAAACTTGGCATAATTAACATTCATGATATGAACATTAAAAAATGCAATAAAAAAATTGGGTCACCGTGCTTGTTTATGCGTCAGCAGGCTCTTAAAATGGGGTATTTTTACTGGTTGCGCGTTAAAAATTCGAATCACCTTCATACAGAATAAAGTCTTGGCTACTTGAAAGACACGAAATTTTATCTTGAAAGTAAAGCTTCTTTTATTCACATAAGCAGTATTGCTTCATTTAAGCCGTTCTTGATTGCCTGGTTGTGGGAATATTGCACTTTTTCGGACAGTTCCGTGGTTAGCGTGAAGTCCTCGCCTTGGCCAAAATACACCCAGTACGGAACTATTTTCGAGAAAAAAATCATGTTCTACTATCAAACTTTTTTTCTTCATCAAATATGTTCCTTATTTGACTGTTCTTAGCAAATACCTGAACAAAAATTCGGGGGTCACCGTGCTCGTTTAAGAGAAAAGGAGCATTTATTTCGCTATCGAGCTTAGTTTGAGGGAAATCTCTTACGTTTTGTACGTGCACGCGCTCATGTGCGCGCGCTAATGACGCGAAAATCGTGCGCAGTAGGGATGCGCAATGCAACTTAAGGAATCACCTTAACTGAAACACGTGGAGTAAGCGAACAGACTGTTCATAAATCAAGTGCCTAAAAAAATCGGAAAAGAGTTCAACTGTGTATGAAGAACATTTGTTACCTTGTCCAATGTTTTCTACTCCAACTGACAATCCCAAGAACTTTGACTTGGTCCAAATATGCGCGTTGAAAGAAATCTGTTTACTAAAGTTCTCTGCATAGAAGGCAGAAACTAGCAAGAAAGATAAAGAGAGAGTTATTGAAACTCAAATAAAATTGCATGCGTTGGAGGATAGGTGAAAAGTTTTGAATTTTTTTTCTACAAAATAGCTTTATGTCACTTGATATTAACGTGACATTTGATGTTGCACGATTAGCACTCACTTGGAGGATGATGGGATACTTGCTCAGCAAGAAAAGTGACGTCATCTTCAGAAGCCCAAGGCACTGGACCGTCGATTTGACATTTCTACAAAATAACGGAAAACGTAATTAGCAACCCATGTTCCTTTATTATCGCAATCTTCTGCTACTTTAGTTAACTATTTTTATTTACATTTTCTTCCATTTGAAGATATCACAAAAAGCATGTTGTAAACTAAGCGTTAAGCCTTTTTCTACCCGCTCCCTGAGAACGATAATGCTGTGTTAATTCACCTCTGTTCTTGACGTCTCACATTCAGGCAGCACCCAGAAACAACGGAACGTCTCTCCCAATATAGGATTGTACGGCTTCTTTGCTACAGAACCCTGTAAAATAAA